ATTAGTACCATTATTTTTTGGATGTTTAGCATTAATTGGTAATAATTTTAAATTAAAATAATTGTATGATAAAATTTATCTTACCTAAAAAGAGAAAAGAGTTTATCTTATTTATATAATTAAAGTAAGTAAATAAGTAAATAAGTAAATAGAAGGAATAAAATTATGGCATAGTATTTAAAGATTAATTGATTGAAATCATTAAAAAATTTATCTTATCTATCATTATTATTAAAATTTATCTTATTTGACATTAAAAAATTTATCTTATCTATCATTATTATTAAAATTTATCTTATTTATCATTAAAAAATTTATCTTATCTATCGCTATTATTAAAATTTATCCTATCTATCTTATCAATATCATTTATCACTTTTTTTTAAAATCTTATTTGCTTGATTTCGTTTTTCTTTTTTGTAATTAAAAAGAAAAAAGGATAAAGTTTTTAATTAAAAGGGATAAAATTTAATTAGGTGAAAAATTTAATTAACAAAAGACACAATTTTCCTTTCTTTTTTTTTAGATATCTATTAAAATTAAAAATAAAAAGAAAAATTTAATTTTCATATTTTATCCAATGTATTATCCATTTTCAATTTTTTGTTTTGTTTTTTTTTTTTCAGGTTCAGCTCCAGCTACTGATCATTCTGTTGCATCAACCGGTTTACTTGGTAGTTTATATCCGATGGCAGCCGCATTCCTGTTGCTTAGTTCCCTACAGTATCTTTTGACACCTACAGTAACCGGATGGAATACAGTAACAGCAATAAAACTTTTAGCTGATCCATTACTTGGTATATTAGCGTCAGCAGGATGTTTCGTTCAAATTCTTTTCAATATTTTTAAAGCAAATCGTTTGCAACTTCTTGATAAGCATGGTTATCAACCGGCTGCACCACAAATACCTCAACCAGCAATTCCATCGCATACGGTAACAGCAAGCAATGCTTATTCGTTGTCAAGGTATCCGGAACAGAGGCCACTTTGTCCACTATAGGTTAATTTAGCTTGCAATAACTAATTTACCGTACAATATCAATAATTGATAGTTTTACAATTAAATTCACTGTTATATTCTCTAAATTAATTACACTTTCCTACCAATAAATACATATAGATAATGAGAAATTTTATTTGTAATGCATTAAAATTAACTGCTACAATAAG